AGGGAGGGAGGGAGGGAAAGAGGGAGACAGGAAGAGAGAGAGGAAGGTAGGGAGAGAGAGAGGCAAGGAGAGAGAAAGACAGGGAGGGAAGCAGTGAGAGGGAGAGGAGGAGGCAGGGAAAAGAGAGGCAGGAAGATGGAGGGAGGGAGACAGGGAGGGAGGGAAGCAGGGAGAGAGGGAGGGAGGAAGGGAGGGAGAGAGGAAGGCAGGGAGGGAAGCAGGGAGAGGGAGAGGAGGAGGCAGGGAAAAGAGAGGCAGGAAGACGGAGGGAGGGAGACAGGGAGGGAGGGAAGCAGGGAGAGGGAGGGAGGGAGGGAGGGAGAGAGGGAGGGAGGGAGGCAGGCAGCTGGCCATCTCCAACTCACTGTGGGACAACTCTCTGTGGGCTAATTCAACAAAGACCAAAGTTAGATTAATTACGACAGAACCGCGGCCAACGACCGTAAAATAAAGCCGATCCAGGGACACGAGAGTTACAACCATCTCCATGAAATCATGGCCGGCCATAATCAAAGGCTCTGAGCCAAACGATTGATACGGCCTTGAAGTCTCCTGTGGCCAGCTGGCCGTGGCGCGTTGTGCCGGACGGGTGGGATCGGGAGGGCGGCGGGTCTGGGGCCGAAGTGACCGAGGCTGCTTTCCCTCCCCCTCCAGGCACGTCTTCATCAACATGGCCCTCCTCTACTACGTCAGCCTCATACTCTTCTTCGACGTCTACAACGACCTGCCCAGCAGCGAGCCCTCCATGGAGTACTGGCCAAGCAGCAGCTTCCCCCTGGCGCTGCCCTACATCGTGATCCGGAAGCCCGTGAAGTGGTGCTAGCGGCACGGTCCGTCGGGGCCACCCCACTGGGCCCTCCAGGATGGAACCCGGCAGCTTTAAGTGGGGGGCCTCGGGGATCCCGGGAGGAAGGCGGCCTGGTCCTCCCCCGGCCCTCTGCGCTCCATCGCTTGTCTCTAAACTTGAATCCACGCCTCCAAAAGGAAAAAAGGGGGAAAAAAAGACAAACCAGAGACTGGAAATTCACCTTCAGAAACCCAGTTTTTCTTCTCTAGCACTGTGTGCCTCTCTCCAAAAAGATGTTCAGAAGCGTTTTGGTACCTTCGGATTAGAACATAGAAGAGCAGCGTTGGAAGGGACCTTGGAGGTCATCTAGTCCAACCCCCCTGCTCAGGCAGGAAACCGAATGGCTGTCCAGGGTTGGCGCATTCACCGCTTCTGGAGGCAGGTTGTTCCACTGGTTAATAGTTCTCATTGGAAGGGAGTTTCTCCTTAGTTCTAGGTTGCTTCTCTCCTTGGTTAGTTTCCATCCGTTGCTTCTTGTCCTGCCTTCAGGCTCTTTGGAAAATAGCTTGACTCCCTCTTCTTTGGGGCAGCCCCTGAGATACTGGAAGGCTACTATCATGTCCCCCCTCGTCCTTCTCTTCGTTAAACTAGACATACCCAATTCCATCAACTCTTCCTTATATGTTTTATCCTCCAGTCCCCTAATCATCTTTCTTGCTCTTCTCTGGACTCTTTCTAGAGTTTCTGCATCTTTTGTACATCGTGGTGACCAAAACTGGATGCCGTATTCCAAGTGTGGCCTTACCAAGGCCTTGTAAAGTGGTATTAACACTTCACGTGATCTTGATTCTCTCCCTCTGTTAATGCATCCTTAATCAGAATAGAGCTGGAAGGGACCTCGGAGGTCTTCTATGATGCTGGGAGGGGAGGAGAAAGAATGTATGTGGGGATTGGTTAAGATAAGAAACCCGCAGGCTACAGAACCGGAAGGAAAACTTTGCCCTTCAAACTGATTGGAGAACGTGATTTATGACAGCAAATTAGAGGAAGGAAAGAAGCTGGAATAATATGTGCTCAGGGGAGGGGAATTCAGATCTTGGCATCCGCCATGCTGTGCCGGCACTCTGTTACACAATTAAAGACTTTTTAGGATAAACAATGCCTGGAAGTTCTTTGAAGTGTTTCATTAGTCGGAATCTTGACAAGAGCTTTCCGACTCCCCACCTCCACCGCAGGGAAGCCCACCCCCTCTCTGGGGCCTTGGGTCTTAGGGGTGTCCCAAGGGCACGGTTTAAAAAAAACAACCAAGATGGCAGCCAGAACGATGGGGCGGAAACTCTGCAGGTTTCTTATGTGCACCGCAAGCAGCCTCGTGACTTTAGCGCCGGGATCCTGGCGATCTTCTCAGAGTGATCCGTTGACTGAATTCTGCAGGAGGCCCCTCCTGGGACCGACACACCCCCCCTTGGCCTTTGTTCTCTTGGCTAAGCACACAGCTCTTTCCTTCCTTTCTCTTTTGATAGGGATCCTGGTTCGAATTGCCCACCCAGCCGCCTCGTCCTTCCCAGACTGACTCCTTGGGTCCTTCTTAAGGCGACTCGGAATGTACGGAGCACCGTATTTGGGGCGGGAAAGAATCCGATCCATGCACAATAAAAAACAAACATTTCCCCCACCCCTTCCTCGGGTTCAGAAAATCTCGTTCCGTTGAAGCTGCCCAGGATTCCATTTGCCTTTTTTTTCTGCAGCCGGGCGACCCTGTTGCAGTCGATGGGTTTCCAAGTTTCTTTTGCACGCAGGGGGTTGCCCAATGGAATCAATCTCTCTTGGATCTTGCAGGCCGTTGATTTGAATTGCTTTGGGATAGAGGGAGGGAGGGAGGGAGGGAGGGAGGGAGGAAAGAAACAGAGGTGGGGACATAGAATAATAGGATGGGAAGGGGCCGTAGAGGTCGTCTAGTCCAACCCCCTTGCTCAAGCAGGAAACCCTGTACCTTTTCAGCGAAATGGCAGGGAAGGAAAGAAGGAAAGGAAGGAAGGAAGGAAGAAGTGAAAAGGAGAAGAAAGCAAGAAATAAAATAAATAGAATAGAATAGAATAATAGGATTATAAGGGACCTTGGAGGTCGTCTAGACCAGGGCTTTTCAACCTTTTTACCGATTGTACCACTTTAGGATATGGCAGTATTCGAGTACCGCCTAGCAAGGTGTCAAAAACGTGATGACCAAAAAAACCTGTTCAAAGTTGCAATTGCACTGAAATGACTTATGCCCATTTTTCACACTTATGACCATTGCAGCATGCCCAGGGTCATGTGATTTATATTTGGATGCTTGGCAACGGATTCATATTTATAGTGGTCACAGTGTCCCAGGGTCATGTGATCCCCCTTCTGCAACCTTTTGACAAGCAAAGTCAATGGCAGGGCTGCTGGTGGCCAAGTGCTAAGGCGGGACTTCCTTCCCTCCCTCCCTCCCTCCTTCCCTGCCTCCCTCTTTCTCATTCCCATCTCCTTCTGAAGGAAGAATTTGAACCCCCCCTCCCATATTTTCCCTCTTCCATATATTGATCAAACAAGGAAAGGCCTCCAGAGACAGAAAAGACCAGCTGCTGAGTGAACTAGCTTAAAAAGGCACATTCCCCTTTAAGAATTAGCTACTGGCTAGAAAAGAAAGTAAGGAGCGCAGTCGGCACTTAAAGAAGAAAAAAAAATGTAAGTACTGGCTGCCAGCTAAGGCAGCCTCCCCAAATGGCTCCATTCATCAGTAAAGGAATGCTACAGGCAAAATCCATTCAGGAGAAAAATACTTCAAAATCCCTTGCAGCAAAACTTACAGCTAACAGTAGCAGAGCAGTAGAAGCTAACCTGAGACATCAGCCATCAGCCAAATAGAAATGGCCAAACACTCCTTAAGAACACAAAGCCCTCGTTGCACAAATCCCAGAACTGCAAAGTCACAAAAGCACATAAGAATCCTTCCACTCTCCATCTCCTTCCCTCCTCCGTGCCTCACCTCCAGCCATTGCTGCCTTTTTTCATTCCTCTTGGAGGGCGACCCCTCCCCGGCTGCATTTCTTGCCTGTTTGCTGCTGCCAGCACAGGTGGCTGCCACAGCAGTTGTAGATCGGCTCATGGCTGGCCTGCTTGATCTCCCTTCCTCCCCCCCTCCCCCTCCCCTCCCCTCCTCCTCCCCCTTCATGCAGCTGACTCTGCCTCCTCCCAAGGCTGCTGCTTTTTCTCTCTCTCCCTCTCCTGCCCAAACTGCCTCCTTTTATAGGCTCTCCTGTCTCC